CCATTTGCTCCTATTTCCAAACATGTCACATTCTGAGGTACTGGGGGTTAGGAATTCAAGATATCTTCTTGGGGGTTGAGGGGACACAATTCAACCCAGACCACAACAAAGAGAATCTCCGTGAAAGATTTCTAGAGTCATGACTCCCTCAAATCTAATCTACCTCATCTCTTGAATTTTGAGATAAATTTCCTAATTATTGAAGTCAGTAAAAGTCAAGATGTCCATTACTTCCAGTCAATGCCTTCATGGCAAGGTTATTCAGGCACTTCTGATAAGATTAGATAAGGACAATGATGGAGGACATTGGGGACCCTGGAATGAACCACAGAAGAAGGAAGAATCTGGCATGTGGTACCTGACAGTGTTCGAAGGTCATGGGTTTGCTAATCTTCAGCATTTTCATTCATTCTTCCTGTTCTCTAACTGCCTCCCAGAGCAGCCTCCACCTGCCTTGGGTCTTGAAACTTCTCTGACCAATGCTGATTTCTGCACCCTGTAACAGGTGCAGGGCCAGGATCCTGATAAGATCCTTGTATCAGCCCAGACTATGCCCCAACAATATTAATCACTCATGCACCTTGGTGTCATTGAGTCCTGCAGGAATTTTGTGATGAACTACCCCTGATGCCTTTCCTTTCAGGCATGGGTTGACAAAGATATTTCTATTCTTGGCAGTCAGTAAATATTTCCTGACAAACTGACTTCCTTCCGGCATGTTTGCCAGGGTGCACTGGGCCCTAACAGATAATGGCTGGGAGGGGCCACAGATGGCTACAATTCAGTTTTCAAGCTGTGTAGCATTGGGTGGGTTGCACAAACACTATGCTTCAGTTTTATCATCTGTAAATAGAGTTCTTATTTATCGTATTGATTGTCTATCATTGCCATTTTAAAAATGAATGAAGGTCAGACCAACTAAATGTCACCCAAGACCATATGCATAATCAAAAGTGTTTAAGCATGATTCCGGAATCTGTGCATTTTCCCAATCCCTAATACGAGAAGAAGGAAGAAGAGTGTTTTAAAATTGAGCTAAAGGGTAACTTGAACATCCTGTGCGTCATATAAGCTTATGAACATTGGATCAAATTTTGGTCAGCCATCTATTATTTTTGGTGCTTCATCTGAGGGTCACTGCACTGGGTTGTCCCTTAGTGTGCCTGGGCTGCTGCTCTTTCTGCTCCTCCAAATTTCTCTTCCTAAAACTGGCTGGGGAAAATGCCTTCATGTGTCCACACCAGGCCATCCTAGAGATTCTGCAGCAGGCTGCTAAAGCCCAAGGTACAAGGGGGTCTAATTGAACCAGTGTCCAGTTCTACCTCTAGTCTGATGAGCTTTCACCAACTGGGTGGCTGGATCCAGACCAGGTGGAGAGACAGCCATAGTAAAATGATTTCTCTGGCACCAGTCCTGAGCCCACTCTGCCAAGCCAAGCTCCTGCCTCTGCCTGACCCATCCTTTCTGCAAGGCGAATGTTCTGCCACCCTGTCTCTCACACATGCTTCCACAGTTCATTTTTCTGCACCATTCCACAGCATGTTGCTGGTAGCCAGCCCCCAAGATGGCCTGGACTAAAGTCAAGACAATATGAAAAACTGTGGGTTTTCCCAATTCTTATTTTACTTTATGGTATATCAAGTGATTTTTCTTACAGAGAATTTGTTTACCTAATGGGCTGTGCTTCCATTGATACTATAATTAACACGCCCTCTCCAAGCATTCAACCACCAGATAAGAAGGAAGACAGCTTCAGAAGCAGGGAAAAAGTGAGCCCCAGAGACCAGTGCTGACGACAAAGCTGGTGTTGATGCACGCGTTTGAATCATTTCTCCTAATGCATCCCTAGCCAGCAAGGAGCACCGTGGATGGTGCTTCATTTGATTAGGAATGATCATGACTCTCTTTTACAATTGTAAAAATTTGAACACTTCTTATAAAATTTGATTTTTTTTTAGAGCTTTAACTTTTAATGATGCTCATATGCAAGGAGCAATCCAGCCCCTCCCCTAACTGCACCCATTCAGGATGCCAGTGCTGTCAGCAGCTCAATTACTGATTAGGGATGCAGAGCTGCTATGCTGCTGCTATCAGGATGGTCCAGTAATCATGCAGAAGGACACAGCTGAGTCATGGGTTGTCCAAAAATGGAATGGCACTTGATTACTATAATGGTTGAAAACTAAAGTGAATGCAAAGGGACTTCGTCATGGGGGATCTAGAAAACATCCTGTCTGACACAGACGGTATCTCCAACTTCAAATACAGAACACACTGTATAATCAAACCTTAACAAAGTGTTTTCTAGGTCCAGTTGTATGTTATTATTCAGTACACATGACACAGGAGGAAAACACCCTTTCTTTCCTGTACTTTGGATATGAAAACAATATAAAGCTCAGTGAATGTTCTGTCCAGTGTCACACAGCTAAAAAGTGATAGAGCAGATCTATGCTAAGCCTCAGGCCAACATCATTCTAAATAGAGAAAAATTGAAAGCATTCCCTCTAAAAACTGAAACAAGACAGGGATGCCCTCTTTCACCACTTATGTTTAACATAGTTCTTTTTTTAAAATTTTTAATATATATTTTTTTTTTTAGTTCTCGGCGGACACATCTTTGTTGGTATGTGGTGCTGAGGATCGAACCCGGGCCACACGCATGCCAGGCAAGCGCGCTACTGCTTGAGCCACATCCCCAGCCCCCATTAACATAGTTCTTGAAATACTAGCCAGAGCAATTAGATGAAAGAAATTAAAGGGATTCAGATAGGAAAAGAAGAACTCAAATTAGCACTATTTGCCAACCATATGATTCTATACAGAGAAGACCCAAAAATTCCACCAGAAAATTTCTAGAACTAATAAATGAATTCAGCAAAGTAGCAGGATATAAAATCAACACCCATAAATCAAAGGCATTCAAAGCCTCTGAAAGAGAAATGAGAAAAACTACCCCATTTACAATAGCCTCACACACACACAGACACACACAAAAAAATACTTGGAAATCAACTTAATGAAAGAGGTTAAAGACCTCTACAATGAAAAGTACAAATGCTAAAGAAAAAAAAATAAAGAAGATCTTAGAAGATGTAAAGATCTCTCTTGTTCTTGGATAAGCAGAATTAATATTGTCAAAGTAAGCATGTTACCAAAAGCACTATACACATTTAGTGCAATTCCCATCAAAATCCCAGTGACATTTCTCATAGAAATAGAAAAAGCAGTCATGAAATTCATCCTGAAAAATAAGAGACCCAGAATAGCCAAATCCTTAGCAAGAAGAGTGAAGCAGGTGACATCACAATACCAGACCTTACACTATACTACAGAGGGATAGTAACAAAAATGGCACAATATTGGCACCAAAATAGACTTGTAGACCAATGGTATAGAATAGAGGATGCAGACACAATATAAATACACATATACAGTTATCTTATATTAGACAAAAGCATCAAAAACATACATTGGAGAAAAGATAGCCTCTTCAACAAATGGTGCTGGCAAAACCAGAACTACATAGGCAACAAAATAAAATTAAGCCCCTATCTCTCACCAGGCACAAAACTCATGAAATAATCTAAATCTCGAAGCAGATCAAGGACCTAGGACTTAAACCAGAGACCCTGTGCCTAATAGAAGAAAAAGTAGGCCCTAATCTCCATTATGTCAGATTAGGCTCCAAATTCCTTAATAAAACTCCTATAGCAAGAATTAAAATCAAGAATCAATAAATGGATGGATTCAAACTAAAAAGCTTCTTTTCAGTAAAAAAAACAATCAATGGAGTGAATAGAGAGCCTACAGAATGGGAACAAATTTTTACCACATGCACATCAGATAGAGCACTAATTTCTAGGGTATATAAAGCACTCAAAAACCTTAACATAAAAAAATAATAACCCAGTCAATAAATGGGCCAAAGAACTGAACAGACATTTCTCAGAATATGATATACAATTAATCAACAAATATATGAAAAAAATGTCCAACATCTCTAGCAATTACAGAAATGCAAATCAAAACTAAGATTTCATCTCACTCCAGTCAGAATGGCAGCTATTAAGAACACAAACTGAATAAGTGTTGGTGAGGATGTGGGGGGAAAAGGCACACTCATACATTGCTGGTGGGATTGCAAATTGGTGCAGCCAATGTGGAAAGCAGTATGGAGATTCCTTGGAAAACTGGGAATGGAACCACCATTTTACTCAGCTATACCACTCCTCGATTTATACCCCAAGGACTTAAAAACAGCATACTACAGGGACACAGCCACATCAATGTTTATAGCAGCATAATTCACAACTAAATTGTGAAGCAAACCTAGATACCCGTCAGTAGATAAAAGGATAAAGAAACTGTGGTATATATACAATGTAATATTACTCAGCATTAAAAGAGAATAAAATCATGGCATTTTCAGTAAATGGATGGAGTCGGAGAATATTATGCTAAGTGAAGTTAGCCGGTCCCAAAAAACAAATGCCAAATGTTCTCTCTGATATAAGGATGCTGATCCATAATGGGATGGGGGGGTCATGGGAGGAATGGAGGAACTTCCGATAGGGCCAAGGGGAGAGAAGGGGCATGGAAGTAGGAAAGATGGCGGAATGGGGCAGACATTATTTCCCTAAGTACATGTAAGAAAACACGAATGGTGTGACTCGACTTTGTGTACAACCAGAGACATGAAAAATTGTGCTCTGTTGGTGTAATGTGAATTGAATCGCATTCTGCTGTTGTATGTAGCAAATTAGAATTTTTTTAAAAAAGTGATAGAGCAGATAGGAAAAATAAGACTTGTGTGGCAAGAAGTGTAGACTTGTAAACACAATACCTTCCACACAGGACCTTGGTTGGCCTCCTTACAACTCCAGAATTTAACTTATATTTGCTAAAGGTTCTTTTGTGTGTGTGTGTGTGATTTATTTAGTGGTGATATCTGATCTGACCTAAGGCTGACTAACTGTTTTTATTTATCCTGCTTGAAGGTTGGTGTTCTGCTATGGGAATATTAATGTGCTGATTACAGGGTACTGATTCAGATGGCTCTGAGGGTGGTAAGTACCTTTCTATTATCTGGGAAATTCTGTACTCCACAAACCATCTGGCTAAAAGAGGTTTTGGGTAAGGGATATAAAATCCATGAGGTGAAATGAGAAGAGATGGTAAAAGATGAAGATAAGACATGAAATCAAGATACAACTATAAAGAAAGAACAGAACTACCCCCCCGCCCCCGCCTGCTTAGATTCCCTAAGCCTAGAACAATGGCTGAACCTGTGTGACTTCAGTAATGTGTGTGGAATTACACTGGAAAGGGTAAACCATGACAAAAACAGTCCTAGTGTCACCAAGTAAAACATGGCTGTCTGCTCTCTTTAATTATCTAGTGAGGGGCAGACTGAGAGGATCTGGGCTTCGTGATAGCACTTTCATCCTTGCTTGTATCCTTCCATCCTGGGAGGAGGAGCTCCCCCTCCTGTTGGCAAGGCTTTGCCTGGCTGCCCTCTCCTGCTGGTCTGGTGCATAGCCTGGGCACGTGGTTCTCTGGAGGGAGCTGCCGCCATGGACCCAGGTCCATCTCCCACCCAGCCAGCCACGCTTACAGGCACAGCCGCATTCACAGCTTAGGTCCCTCTACTCAGAGGCCTCCTTGTTGGGGACTGAGCTGGGGCACTTTTCTCCATTCCATGAGCCCTTTCTACTTTCTGCCCACCCACCCCAGGCCATAAAAGCACAGAGGACTGCTCAGCAGTGAACCCATTTTCCCTCTCCCCGGGTCTGCCTGTGCTGATCCACCTGACCTCCCCCATGCAGTGCAGGGAAAGGGAGCCCTGGGGAGCCCCGGACTAGTTAGCCTCTGCTGCCACTGCCACAGTGAGTGAGCAGGGCCCTGACTGGGACTGTGATTGGCTTGTGTTCCTCACGACCACCTCGACGCCTGAGGAATCTCTGTTCCAATGCTCTGAATATCATCTTCCATGACCCCAGAGCCCCTTGCCATCATCCCCTGAATCACACACGTCTTTGACCCCACCCTCGACTTGCTCTCTCTCATCAGTTAGACAAGCTCCCACTGCATCCATCTTAAAGTTCCCTGGCCTTGTGTCTCTTCTACCACTGACCGATGTCTCCCCTTCACATTCTGAAGAAGAAATTGCTCAGTCAGGCCTTTAGCCCATGCTGTCTCCGGGACCTGGAACATGGCTCTCTTACTCTTCGTTTGGTGACCTCCAACTGTCCCTCAGTAACCACTGGCCCCAACAAACCTCCCTGGACTCTTCGATCCCAGTTCTGGTCCTTCCCTCTGGGTCCATGGCCTTTGCCAAGGCCAGAAGACAAACCTGTGCTTATTTACTGACGCCTTCCCTCAATAGCAAATTTTGTGAGGACGGAGAACTTAGTTATGTCCATGTGTTCAGGATTCCCCAAAATCCTGGATCTTCATAGTCACTCAACCAAAGCTTAGGGATGTATGGATAAATGATGGAAAGATGGACTCCAATGGTCCTTACTAAAGTAACAAGTTTAGCAGAAAATTAAACACACACACACACACACACACACACACACTCCAAACTGTATTAGTCTATCCACTGGGAATACTGGCCTTTTTGCTTTCAAAGCTTAACATTAAAACATATATTTTATGCTGTTTACTCCCCCCCTCACACATAAGACTATTCTTGCCATAAACAAGCCTTACGATTTCAACTTCTGGTGAAAATACATATGTTCTTTGTTTTGGTCCCCATATATTTTATGTTGCTTAAATTTATTTTTTAAATATTTATTTTTTAAGTTGTAGTTGGACACAATATCTTCATTTTATTCTTATATGGTGCTGAGGATCGAACCCAGGGCCTCGCATGTGCTAGGTGAGCATTCTCCCACTGAGCCACAATTCCAACCCCAAGTTGCTTAAAGTTCCATGGAGATCCTAAGTCCCCATTGTCACCTTATGTCTACATTTTGGGATCTTTTTAGTTAGCCAAATTTTCTATACAAGTTCTGCTTATGGATTGATTTTTAACTTGCTTTCCAGCCTCTCATTAGAATGCAGAGGTATGAACTAGATATTTCCTAAAGAGACTTCAAATTTGAAGTCTATGAATTTTATTACATTAAAAATCCAAGGCTTCCTCTTAGATTATGCCTGATGTAAAATATATGACCTGTAAAACAGATAAAAATGTGACCTCTCTCACACAAACAAATGGAAATTTCACTCTAAAATTCTGCTATATTTTAATTTATAGGTACAAAGAACCCCAGTTTCTATTTTTACTGGTTTCAGCATATAATTATATTATTTCCACAATTTTAGAATTGATGAATAATCTCCCAATGCTGACAATATGCTGACAACACCTGCACCCCATAGAAGGGAATTTTAAATATTAAATTTAATTATCCAAGTTATCAAAAATATGACAATAGTTTTAAAACCACAACTAAAGTGAAATTACATTGATGTTAAAAATTATTACTAGAATAAGCATAATGAATTAAACTGACTGTGGTTTTAATTCTTACCCTTGGAAATGTTGTAAATCTGTCCAGTTCTTCAACAAAGCAGAACATTTGCAAACTAATTGCCGACATAACGATCAAGAGGCTGGCAGTGAACACAACCAAACTCCCGAGCTTTTTTCCAGGACCGAAGATCTTGTACACAAAGTCTTCTAATGCAGGAGAAATCTTAATAAGCCGAACTACCCGAAGAACCTACCATGAGTGAGAAAAACACACGTGTTTGATCATTTCTTCACATACAACCTTAAAGAAATTTATACTAAAACATCATTTTCTACTGTACTCTATGAAAATCACCTTTTTCTATTTGTGCATCTAGAAACTAAAAGTAAAAATAGAATAACCAAGATACCAATGGTGGTAACCAAGTGTTTTAACCTATAATTTGTGATCATTTAAATACTATTAAATAGTAATGTTTTCAAAATAAAACTGATATTTTCTTACGTTCAAATATCTAAGAAAACTTCTACTATTTGTTATATTTAATGTCCCATAAAATAAACCTTTCTAAGTATTACACATTCATAAAGAAATGGAAAAAATATACTTTTATCAGGGATTCTTTACTTCTGGCTGAGACATCTACCCCAGTATCCATTTTCTCTTTCTTCCTTTAGATAACAGAACTTCCGGAATTTGAGCCTTGCCAGGGCTGCCTAGTGGGGTAGATCACACTGTCTCTGCACGTACTCTTTGCAGCTGGGTGTGTCCCATGAACCAGGCCTGGGTTTGAGGGATATGAAAGGAGTGATTTGTGCAGCTCTTGGCACATGAAGTTCAACTTGCCCTGGATACCCTCTGTATGCCTTCACCTGGCCTAGAAGTGGAAATAAATGGAGTGGTGCCTTCGGACCAGAAGTAGAAGGCTTGCAAAGAATATGTCATGTCTGAGCTAACCTGACAGGCCAGTGTTTAGGATGACGCTGTGAAGCAGAGCCACCCACTTTCCCTGGACACCCAGAAACCACTGAAGAGAAACAACTTATCTTATGTAAGCCTTGTATTTTTGGACCTTTGCTACATCTGCTTGTTATCTACTCCTCATATGATAAATAATGATATATATTTGTTTAGAAGTTTTGCGTGTATTTATTTGCAAAGAACCTACCCACAACTAATTAATTAATAAATTATTTCACTCACTCGTTCATTCAACAAATACTGATGATTATGTGCCAAAGATTATATTGGATAAATCTGATTCAGTGGCTATTATTTCAAAAAGCACATGGAACAGATACAGCTCTTAAGGATGTTTTTTTTTATGATTGAAGCATAAATTGGGCTGGGCATGGTGGTGCACGCTTGTAATCCTAGCAGCTTGGGGGCTGTGGCAGGAGGATAGAGAATTCTAAGCCAGTCTCAGCAACTTAGTGAGTCGATAAGAAACTTAGATACTGTATCTAAATAAAAGTTTCAAGAAAGGGCTGGGGATGTGGCTCAGTGGTTAAGCACTCCTGGGTTCAATCCCTGGTACCAGAAAAATAAAATTGGTATGTAAGAAAAAGTTGAGGGAGGGGCTGGAGATATAGCTCAATTGGTAAAGTGCTTGCCTCACATGCACAAGACCCTGGGTTCAATCCCCAGCAACAAAAGAAAAAAAAACTGAAGTATAAAAGCATGGGAAAATGCCATTTTTCATTAAGTCTAAGATGTCATCGATTTTTTATGTTCCTCTAATAAATAAGAATGCTGCCAATTAAAGTACAATGATTTTAGGGCAGATTTCAAATATAGAAATATTAAATTAGAAAACTGTGTTCTTGGCATAAATAAAAGATGATAAGTAGAAGAGTAACAGAATAATAATAGAATGTAAGTAGAATATCAATCAGAAACTAAGTTGTCTGTGAAAGAGGAATGCTATATTTAGAAGATAGTAATGAACAAGAAATGGATTAAAAACTAGATTTTAATTTTTACATGTACTTGGAGTCTATAGAACAGGAAACACATTTTATAAACTAGAGTTTAATTGTTACATGTGTAAACAAAATATTTGCTTTTGCCTCTGCAATGTCACTAGCTTCCTATTGTTTCTGATCTTCCTTCAGTAAATCATTCTAATTCCATCAGTCCTACCATTTACAGAGTATAAATACATGGCAGGAAAATTAATTGGACAAATGACAGGAAGTTGTGAAGATGCATAAAAATCCTTAATACCACATTATAGAAGAAAAATTTATGTGAGAAATCAAGCTATTTGAATTAAGCATCCAACCACCTCTCATTTCTCCTGCTATAATTTCTTTTTATTTTAGTTTTTAAAAATTTCTACTTGTAAGTGAGCACAATGTCTTTATTTTTATTTATTTATTTTCATGTGGTGCTGAGGATTGAACCGAGTACCTCACTTGTGCTAGGTGAGCACTCTACCACTGAGCCACAACCCCCGCCCTTGCTAAAATTCTTGGCATGCATTTCCAAATCAGAACATAGTACACTCAGGTAATCTTTCCAAATAAAAGAAAATGGTTTTATTATTAGAACAATTAGTATACTAACACACCAACATCCTAACATCCTAACATTAATATTAAGAATAATAATCTGGCAGGATTTCATTTTTATCAGATTTTTTTCAATCTAACTAGAAACAGCAGAATCCAGGCAAGTATTCCAAGGATAATTTAACTGGTTTATAGCTTAAATTTCAGCACTATGTGTTTTCCTTGCTTGTATTAAAATCGTATATAAAATATTACCTAAATAATTTGAATTTCATCCCAAATTCTAATTAACATAGCCTATGCATATCTGTGCAATTCTAATCAGTTAATATTTTATCATCTTGAAGAACAGAACTGAACACAGTTCCCTCATTGATGATTTGATCAGCATTTTCAAAGGGTTAAATCTGCATCCCAGAAAGGAGAAATTCTTATCAGTAACTCCAGTTGTGCCTTTTCATATTTGCGGATAAGTATACTTTTCTCTCTATCTGTTCCTATAGACACGAAATAAAGCACTTTAGAACATGGTGTGGTTATTTCCAAAGCACATTCTGCTAGTCAAATGCCTAAGTGGGTCTCCTTCAAGATTATTCTGTTGTTTCACAGTGGGATGCTGTACAAATGGCCTGGTTAAAAATATGAACTCTGAAATTAAACTTTTGGGAACTAAGTTGCAGCTCCACTATTTGCTAGATGCACAGTCATGGGCAAATCATTCTGTCTCTTAAGGCAACAATAACAAATGGGGCAATGAGCTTAGCACAGTTAACAGTCAAAGCACAATCAACCCCTGGACAACACCACCATGTTTGCACAGATAGGGAAGAACCAAAGCATTCTGCATGGCTTCCCCCAGACCATGCTGCCCTAAGTTCACTGCAGCCCAGGCACGCTGACCTTTGTGCTAGTCCTTGAACATGTCAATCATTCTCCTACTCAGGATCTGTGCCATGTGGCTCTCTCTGCCCAGAAACTCCCCC